GGAGGGAAGGACGGAGGGAGGGAGGGAGGTGAAGGGGGAGGTGGAGAGGGAGGAGGAGGGGAGCGGAATTCCTGGACAAGACAGGACAGACGGGACAAGGAAGCCTGGCAGGGCACAATTTCGTTCTTTACCGTTATCGCGGGAGGCAGGCCTGCCAAGCTGCGGCCCGCCCGAGGGGGAAGGGGGGGGGGGGAGATATTGGCGTCGGCTTGGCAAGGCAAGGGGTAAGGGGGGTGAACCGATTGGACCAAAACTCTGCAGCAATCCTACGAGATGTGTTCTGACCGAGCAAAGTCCAGACAGACGAACAGACAGACAGACAGACAAGCCACCTTTCATCCCGCAGCCCTTGCTTCCTACCCCAACAGAGTTCACGCTCGAGACGTTATCCGAGGACGCCACAGACGTCTTGTATCGGCCGTTTGACTGAAGAAAAATACTAAGTTGAAAATATGAGCTGGGTGGATGCGGTTTGTCCGCAGGTTCTGTCTGAAAAAAAAAATATAATAAGACAAATACACAAAGTTACACGACCGGGGGTACAAATATTATGAGGTCCCAAATTGATCAGGAACATCATTTGAGTACATGGAGACCCCCCATGATATTTGTACCGTGGGGTACAAATATTATGAGGTCCCACTAGTATTTGAACTTTCTGAACGGAGTGCTGTGTACGCAGAGCCACACTGACCACGCACGACGCTGTACGCGTCGTCACGAGGCCGCCTTCCTGTGTCGCCGTGGTTAAGTGAATGAAGGCGGGAGAGGTATAAATAACCACGCACTACGTCTGAGGGCAGGAGAGGGGGAGGAGGGGGAGAGGGGGTCCCTCGCGGCGACAGGGCACGGCGGCGGCGGCCCTCGGTGGCCTTGACCCAGGTCCGAAACAGGCGGCGGCAGCATGGCGGCAGCGTGGAGAAACAAACGCGCAAGTGTGTGAAAGTCGCGCACTTGAAGGTGTGTGACTGTACACACACTCGTACACTGATTAATACATTGTGCAACTGGCGGCGTGCACATGCAAGTGCTTTTTAGGTGCTCTTTAATTGTTGGAACGGCTATTTGTATACTAAAAGGTGTTTAACAGTAAAGTTGCACATTTAACACTGTGCAACTCTGGGTTTGCTATTAAGCTTTGGACACTTTACAGTGCTTAAATTTACGGTTGAACACTTTTAAACAGAGTAGGGGCACTGATGCCACCTCACTTTCGTACACTTAAGGGATTAAAGGTGTGCTTTCCCTTTGAAAATCACACACATTGTGCCTCCATTTGTAAGAATGGCGTTCACACACCAACAAGTCGTGTTCGACATTCGCACACTTGGGTTCCCGACGTATACTCTTGTGAGAACGAATAAATACGTCAAACCACCCACCCCCTTGCTTTCACCCGTGCAGCTAAACCGGATCGCTGCTGTCTGAATTGTTCTCAGTTTTGAGTGAGATGTGTGTGTGCGTATTGTTATGAAAAACAAAAGTAAGGCAGGTGTAGTTGTACCTGGTACTCTATATTCAGTCTCAAGTTTAGTGCGTTCACACGATGATGCATCGTTGCGCATACTTTTTAAACTAAAATGAATGCGGGAAAAAGTTTCTTTATGAGAGGGAAACTTTCGTCTTCTTTTCCTCGGCGCGTTTTCTGGCTGTACTTATTGGCTGACGGCCACAAAAAGCCGTGGTCAGGGACGACGGTCGAGTCCTACGCGCGGACGTGCCTCTGCTTGCGGTACAGCAGCATCGCCACAAAGTTAGCGGCCTGACCGGGCGCGACCATCACTGACTGCACCGGGAAAATAAGATTCAAAGCACTTTTGGGGACTTTTTGCCTAAAAATTACCACTTTTGCTTGGAGACCAAAAAAGCAGTCGCCTTTTCCGTGTGAAGTACATCATTGGGAGACGTGTGCAACCCCGTGACAAGGTTGCACCAGAAGGAGCAGCAAGGACTTGTCGCTGAATGAAAATTATTATCATCGCGTTTACTGCATCTGGACGGTGCACGATAGGACAACATACACCCAGCAAAGCATTTCCTAAAAACACGAGAATGTCACTGAAATTAGCCTTAAATCAGCGTAATTTGTCCGTAAATAAACATAAAGAATTTTATCCCTTTCTTCAAGGAAAAACGTCCTTAATTTGAAGAACTCAAGAAATTTTTGTCGATCAACGAAGGCAACACTCTTGGAACAAGAGACAAATTTTCTTTTCCTTTCTTAACGAGGAAAACGATTCTCTATGCGTATGTGTAACAAAAGTTGGTGGAAACGAAATAAATTTCTGAGTGAGAGATGCAGGCAGAGAGGCAGCGCATCTCTCTGGTCCGGCGGGCGCTGCGCGTCCCCGCCCCGAGCTTACGGCTTACACACCCCCGAGACCGGACGGGGTCGACAGGCAGGCACGGCGATCCATCGTTTAGTTCCGCATGCTGGCTGATAGGATCAGAGGAGCGCGGTTCGCATAGAGCCGTGTGGCACAACAGCAGCAGGTCGCTGGCGGCTACAAAGCGCGGCTGCAGGCGCATAGGAGCCGCTCCACGGGCGCACAGGAGCCGCTCCACGGGCGCACATAGGAGCCGCTCCACGGGCGCACACAGGAGCCGCTCCACGGGTGCACAACAGGAGCCGCTCCACGGGTGCACAACAGGAGCCGCTCCACGGGTGCACAACAGGAGCCGCTCCACGGGCGCACAGCAGCCGCTCCCGCTCCATGCGCGGCTGCGGGACTCGTAAACGACCGCAAATCGTAAACGAAGCATCGTTTCGTCTTTATGAAGGAAGCGCCGGGAGAGCGGGCGGTGACGAGGGGGGAACGAGGAGGGAGCGGAGGAAGGGTGGGGGAGGATGTATCCCGGGAGGGATGTATTTCTGGACGGGGATGAAAAGAGTTGAAGGTCGGGGAAGGGG